TCGAATCTTCGGGATATTTTTCAAAAATACATAAAAGATGCGGTCTAAAATAGATATCTTGATAGGAAACTACAAAATACAATCAACATAAGAAGCATAATTCAAATAGTTAGTGCCAGCGTAATCGAATATTTTAATAAATTACTGTTAACTTTTCTGGATGACAACGTGAAATATAAAGCAACCGCCAGAATGATAATTCTGGATAACACACCAATGACCATAAACTGGCTCGAAATGGCGAAACAACACGAATAAAACGAAGGAAGTAAGAATACTTCCTGAAAACTGTCCGATCCAAACTGCAAGACAGAAATTTTTTACAGATGTCTTCTCTTCTTTACAGATTCTGCGATTCCTGCAGTAAATCCTACAAAACAGAAAAAAGTTAAATTTCATTTCAACGATTTCAGGTTAAGTTCCCCATATTCTCATTCTTAAAATTTCAAAACAGTAGTTAGTAGTTCATTTAAGAAACTAAAAATAGGATTCAATTATTGGTGCTTTAAATGAATCGTTTAAAATGAATACATCATCATCATCAACATAAAAATTCTTAGAATGAAATAAGATTTACAAATCCTTACATGAAAAACAATAACAAGATGATAAAGAGCGCGAAGACTTTGCTTTAAGAAGAGAAACTGGTTGCTTAATGAGGTCCTCTGGCTAAATGGGCCAAACGGTTTTGGCCTAATGGTTTTGAACCGCCCAACTGACGTATTCTGAAGAGCAGTTCAGCGATAAAGAAATTTAAATACACCGTTCAAAACAGAGAAAAACTCCAGCCGATTTTATTCACACTATTGCTGATGGAAGTTATTAGTGTTACCGTGGTCAGGTAAGAAAAGAAGAAAAATAATCAGCTATAAGATATCCCAAAAAGTAATTAAAATCAATTGTTGGAAACAATAGGTCTACTACATCATATATATTTTCCAAAAAATTATTTTCTAAGTCACTGGTTATCGATTATGATTTGTTGATGGACCAACGGATTCTGAAATTGGTGTTTTAATGTTGAAATTCTGAAGAACAGATTCACGTTCACGTTCCACTACACCCAAAATATTTTGGACGAAGGCTCCTATTGAAAATTTATGATCATTACGAGCATCATCCAGGAATCTATGGGCCAGCAGATCCGGGTACTTCGGCCTATTGTTGTAATCTTTTGTCAGGCTGAAAAAAATACATATAGCAGAAATTACAATTGCATCGGTTTCAAAAAAAACTTTCATTAATTTCAAGGCTAAAAATTTAACACTAAAATTTGAAAGATACTACATACCATTGAGCAACAAAGTCCTGAAAATTAGCGCTGAATCCCAAACTGTGCGACAATCTTGGTGCTGGTTCATGAACAACCTGCTTCAGTTGCTCAAATGGCGTTTTCCATTTGGAATACGGATGGGATCCTGAGGCTATTTCCACCTGAATTCAATCAATTTTGATTTTGAATGCGAATGACAGTGAGAAAAAGAAAACTAATAAATGGACCTCCCTAGGCCAAAATCAATAGTATAATTTCGATCCATTAAAACAGACACACGTACCAGTGTAATACCCAAACTCCACACGTCTGCTCGAACATCATAAGCAACTTTCTTTTCGCCTTCAATTCTTTCTGGTGGCATATAAGGCTTACAACCAGCATTCACTGTTTTTGCAACCTAAAGGTGACTCTAAACAAACAAATTTTGAACCATTTCAAATAAATAAAAATTTCTTTTGGCTTCATCTACTAGAACATACTAGATCAGAAATTTCTGTTACAAATATTGCAAGTAAGATTTATCACTTACTGAATTTGTTAAATGGCCTGAAATGCCAAAATCACAAATTTTCACTGCTCCTTGCTTATTGAGTAGTATATTTGATGGCTTTACGTCCCGATGTATTAGATTCATTTGCTCTTTCATGAAATTCAATCCCTCAACGACCTAAAGAAATCTATTTATTATATATTTTTCTTTTTTTAAAACAAAGAATGAAGTCTATATAACTTCAAATAAAAAATTTATTAAATAAGTTAAATAGCATTCATTTCCAACACTCCACTTACCGAAAGAGCACATTTCGCTATGAACATTTCCGGTAGAGGACCACCCGAATCAAAGCACATTCGATAAAATTTATCCAGTGATGCATCCATTACTTCCATACAAATCCATACATCGCCCTCACGAAACATTGCACCGTAAAAGCGCACCATCTGAAAATTATTTGAAAAGCATATATGTCCAATTAAAAAAGTATGAAAAGCTTAGAGGATGTTTGAGGAATGCGAAGTAAACTACTCCAGTTGTTTGAAATATCAGTCATTCATATACATAAAATTTCATTACTTTAAAGTTCAAAAGCTACCTGTGGACAGCAATCGCTTTTCATACAAGCTTGTAATTCTACAAGCATTCGTTTCTGACTTTCATCATTTATTTGAGAATGGATACGCTGAAACAAAAATTTTAAAGCGTTGTGAAAGTAATAATTTACTTCTCACTATAAACCTGTAGCGCATTATACTTTTACTTCTAAAATGGGAGTTATAGCAAGAACCTTGACGGCCATAATAATATTCGTCTGACGATGACGCATTTTTTCAACAACTCCATATGCCCCCCTTCCCAGCTCCTCGATCTTCTCCAACTCTTGAGCTCGTACCTGAACCTCCTCACTATCTTCTGAAAACCTGAAAGTACTTGGTGCAGAAAGCAGTATTACATCAAAATTTACGGCCTCATTTTCAATCACCTCCATGTGTTTGCAAACGTAAAGGTCAACCCAACTTCGACGTATCTTCTGTCCTTTTTCTAATTACGCTGTGAACTTCAGTGAACTATTTAACGACAGTATTCCCATATACTTTTGTGGCAGTTCGGTGCGGAACCTTTTATCAGAAAAATTCAGTCATTTCTTTTTTAGAAATGTTACGAGTTCCCTTGCTTATGAAAAAAAAAGTGACTCTGAAGTCCGTCCAACATAAACGAATTAGTTCAGATCACGGTAGAAAACATAACATGACAGTTGAGTTCACTTCCAGCAACCCTCAATCAGTTTAAAAAAATATATAAATGCCACTGAGAACAATCATTACGCAGAAATTCAAAGAAGGGAAAAAAATTCGATGAATGCATAGCGAATACAAACGTTGGTAGTGACTTAATATTGGTATATAAGCCTTACTTCATCATGCATTTATCGTCAAGATCTAGATTTGGTATACTTTCAGGTTCAGGCATTGTGAGGCGTCCCAGTTTACTTTTACCTGCAAGAAAGAGAGGTTAATTGCAAAACATTGTCTTTTCCAATCCATTTAAGTGCAGTTACAGTGAAGGACATTGCCTTCTATTGATTGGTGAGAAGGATCAGGAAGTCCAGATTATTGGCAGTCTAATTGATAATTGAATTGAACGGAATGATTTCGTATGAGGAATGATCAGTTTCAAGTATCAGGGATGCTGGTGCACACCGTGTTAAACATGAAGTCATCACTGGGCAGTGGTATTACATACTGTAAATAATGTATTGCCGGATAAAGTACTTTTTTAGAAGCAAATAAATTAGCAAATCAAAGCTGAACACGTCAAAGACTGCGTACTAGCAAAACGGTTCGGCATTGTCCGTGATTCAATAGTTGGCGAAACCGACAAAAGTCTAACAGTTAAATTTGAATTAATCTCATTTCAGCAATAAATTATCTGAGCAGAAAACTCGTCCGAAACTAATCCAAGTTATTTTCATTGATAATGGGCAGTCATCTGGAATTTTTTTAATTTCAGAATTAACGTTAGAAATTTGGAATGAATAGATTATGCCAATGATCGCAAAAATCATCTACCAAGCATGTGTTTTTTTTTTCCACTATATTATCATGAGTTACCTGGAGAATGAAAAAGGGAAGAAATAGGGGAAATCGGGAGCAAAGAGGACAGCTAACTATTCCATGTATTACTGTTCCACTAAGCTTCAATATAAAAAAGGAAATTCGCGAAATTGTTGAACAAAGTTATTCAATGGACTCAATGAACAACATTCAAACAATTGAAGTAACAATAAATTTTAAAAGAGAAAAAAAATGATGTTTCAGTAAAACTTGATGTTAAAGATACAAGATGGGAATGAAAGAAATACAGGAAAACATTAAGCTTTGCTCTCCTCGATTTCCTTCTCAAAAGAATTATCATTTTTAACAAGGACATATTTAATGCACATATTATATTTATTCAAATCAGCTACAAACAACCAATATTTACAGAGATTATGGTAAAAATTTATGATATGATTATACGAGATAATGGAATGTGTTCTTCATCAGGAATTAATCATAGCTTTATTTTTGCAGCACTATAAGGGAATATTTTCTGCATAACGGTAAATGCATGACACTAGCAGTTCCGACAACATCGACCGGCTTCTTAGTACATGAGATCGTCTTACGTACGGATGGACTCAATTCTTGAAATATAGGATCCCACACGATATCAGTTGCGAAATAAAAGGGAATATAAAGTGGATGAAAGAAGTGGAAAGATAGAGGTAGGGAGTGGGGAAGGAGGAGAAAGGAAAACAATGGTACATTGGAGAGGTACCACGGCCAACGAATGCGTGCAGGAAGGAATACATAGAGCATATAAAAAACTTTTAAACTGCCCTAAATGATGTCGGGAAATGTCGCTCCCAAGCTGATTACATCAGAAACATTTTGATTCCCATCTCTGAAAACATAGAAACGCCCAAATACCACAATTCCCCCATCTTTCCCATCCGTGAAGATCTCATGCAAATATTGCGCTGCTACAGCTCGCATAAATAGCCATGTTCCATAGCAGCACTCCCTCTAGCTGGTACTTTTGAGGTCACGTTGGTTTGGTGGGGATGTGATTAGGGGTTGGGAGAGGAAGAGCTGCTGCTGTGTGGCCGGATGTGTTGCATGCTTGCTTATCAAGACTGTAACATTATTTGTGAGATGAAGTAGAGAAATATCACAGACGAGGAAGATGGATTTTCATCCATGGTCTGATAAGGAAGCAGGAGACAGGATAGCACAAAGTGAGGACATTTAAACTGTCCGGAAGAAAGAAATACTGCCACTGGCTTATCCCATAGAATATACAAGTGAAATGCATCACATAGATGTTGTTTTAATTCTTTAGAGAGATATGGTAATGCTATGGTTATTTATATGGTTTCATTGGAATGTGCTACTACAGAAATAAAATGGACGTGGAGATGTGCCTCAACAAACTATCGCATCAGCCGATGCATTGCATTTATCATGTGTTTTTTTTCATGGCGATGCTGAGTCATCAAAAATATAGTTTTTGGAAATCTTTATAGAACAGGAAAATTGAGATACAAAGAGATTTGTTATTGTAATTTGTGCACGTCCCACATTTTCAGGTTACTATTAAATCATCAGAATTCGCATCGAAATTTATTCATGGTTGATGTAGGATCGAAGTCAGCGGTAAGCGTATTATGCATTCATGCCATTTGCACTGGATGATCATCCTCTTATCGAATTATCTTTTCGTATCTTTCAAATTGTGACCATATCGAATCATCAATAAGTTATAAGTGTTTTTCATCTCTGTCATGATTTCATTTTTTGTAGAATATTCAGTTTGCCACTGGCGTAGATTCACTTGATAGTGGACCTTCATGTAGTGAAGCAAGCTCCATTTCATCATCGGCGCCCGCAGTTCTGGTTAACTTGCATAAAGAACCTTTGTCACCAGTGTCCGAACGTTATCGCCTTAAGAAGTTTCACCTGCAGGAGAAATATGACTATATTTATTTGGTATTACATTTATTCAGTTTTGTCCTCATTAAACTTTTTCAAGATTCGAAGCGTCTGCTGTGTACTTTATGGTGGGAATGAAGATTTTCGAAACATTTTGTTCATTTTGCTCTATTAGTCAAGTATTCCAAAGTCCAGTTTCTTACTCGTTAAGTCATTCGAAATCCTTGAAAAACTTTCAGTCCAACAGTCGGTTACGCAATCGTTTATACCATATCAAAAAAGAAATCAACCATTTGAAGCGCTTAAAAAGGTTCATTTATGTCCTCTTTATTAGTGATAGCAAACTCTTTGTAGTTTGCATAGGGAAAATGAGCTATCCTGTCACATTTAAATTGATCTGTAATTACTAGTGATGATAAGTACTGGTTGTTTAGAGTACTTTGTCAGCGATTGTTCACATTTCGTGATCCATTTATGGATTCATGCCTTGAAATTCCGGATAATGATCCAGCATCTTCAACAACAGAGAAGATTTCAACCGATGCACTAGGGAAGCCATCTGGTAGTTCTAAAAAGAAGAAGGCTGCAGATGTTAAAAGAGTTAGTCAGGTTAGCCACTTTTATGCTGTCTTCAACTTCCAACTGTGTAATTACTAACACAGATACCTTTCTAAAATCCGAAATTTACGTCCTAATAATGGCTACGGACGGAACGATTGATGGAGCTACGAGGTATATTAGGATTCGGGATCATTAGCTTCAAATAAATGGCAGAACGACTACACCATTAACACATACATAAATCCGCTTGGTAACTCTGACAGCAATTGGTGGTTAGAGGCCAACAGGTGTTTTTTTTTAGAAACCGTTGCAATAATAAAACAAAAAAGATTGCAGCACCAATCAAATAACCCAGATTGCGGGGAAGATCAAAGCGTGTATGGACTGCTAAAAATTCAAGGTGCCAGGTTGTCAAAGTATCCCGGAATGGACCCTTCATTATGCACATGGTATATACTGATGAGGGGTTTGACGTGGATTTGCATGTTGCTGGTGAAAGATAAAATGTTATGCGGCGCTCTAAGTTAATGCAGAATTCAAATACAAGAAATCCATGCGATTCAAAAAAAGGAAATGCAATGTTTCTGGTTGCCGAAGCTGAAGAAATGAACTTTGTCACTAGAAGTTGACACTACAAAATCCATATGCCTTCATCTGATCACAATTCGAAATTGGTAGTTTGAAGACATTTGTGGTCGTCAAAATAAGCTAAGATGAAAGGGAAAGCTTTTCAAAACAGTTGAATTATGAAAAAAATCGGAATTAAGAATGCAGTAAAAAAGAAACACTTCAACTTATTGAATTAAAACTGAAATACTATGACATGCAGGCATCAGGATCATGCTAAACAATTTTGAATAACATTCGAATTTTGCACAAACTTTTCAAGATAATATAATATTCGAATTCGTTCGTCTAAAAGTAAACAAAAACCTTAGTATATGTGAAGATTTTCTGACCTAAACAATGATCGCAGCTGGAAAGTGGTACCCCGAGAAAATGAAAGTGAAGTTTCTGGTGTGGAAAAGCATTCAAGATCTGTGTTGAGTATCACAAAATGTGGAGCAGTTTCACTTGGAGCATGTCTTGGCTTCAGTTATTTTAAGCTTGGGAAACTGCTTTGTCCGAAATTTTATTATGTATTATTTGCTTCAAATGTATTATTTGAACCCCAAATTATGCTTTTTAGCAAGTAAATGAAGTGTCATCGATGGTGGAAATAGCGAAGAATAGTGTCATATCAATAATAGACTCGGTGATTACTGAATCTCATGAAGAACGTGTGCGTGCCAATCAGAACTCCAACGGACAAAAAACATCTCAGCAGTCTCCCATTGTGCCAGCCTTAAGCGAATCAGTGCGGAATGAAGCAGGGAACGAGGGGGTAAGTATGCCTCAAATATTTTTGAATTTTCGTCTTGACGCGTTTGAGATCATGATAGACATTTTTTAAAAAAATATTTGGGACTTTTTATTTTAGGTCTCTGAAGATGGTGAACCAGTCATTGAAAGGATGTTACATTCTTCATCTGTAGATCATTTATTACCTGTCGACCCAGATTCCGACCCTAATAATGTACTTACTGGATTTGGTGAAAATTTGGAGGAAAATTTTATGGCTCAAGATTAGAATTGCCAGTCCGTAATTGTTTGTTACTTGAATTTGCACTTCCTGTCGTTTTTGCTTGAATTGTGGCCGCCTTCAGCAACGCCCACGCATTACTGTATAGTCCTAGGAACAGGCCATGTACAGATTTGTGTCTTAAATGATTTTAAAGTCGACCTTAACAGTTTTAGACCTTAACAGTTTGATTTTCCCACGACCTTATGAAGAAACATTTAACAAAAACTAATTGCCGTGGACTGAAGGGGATTCCATTGCAGTACTGAAGAGATCTCTGAAGTTTAGTCATAATGTTATTACTTATCAAATTTGCTGATTGCTTGATTTCTATTTGGTATTTAAGCATTTCTTTCATTGCTTGAACAAGCAGTCACTGTCCAGTAAGCAGTCACTGCTTAATGTTTGCCGTGGTTCTCATTCATTATGATACCCTGTGATGTGTATTGATTCGGATTTCGATTTTATAGGCTTTTATGAGTAGTATATGAAGCTGAATGGGCAGTTATAAGCTAATTTACGGGTGTTAATTTTTCCAGTCAGGTTTGTTTTGTTTCTTGAGAAGCACAGATGTTAGTGATAATTGTAGGTGTTTCGCAACACGTTGATATTGGTTATGTGTTTCTTTCGTTTTTGTAATATTCCCATTGCAAAATTCTTCGCTAGCGATTATAATTAAGTTGAATATGTGACCGTATTTTATAATCTTGCTCTTATTTGAGGTTTTTCAATCATATTTACACTTGTGTGATTGGATTTGACACTGTCTTTGATAAATCGGTTTTGTAATATTTTTTGAATAGAATTAATCAGGCTATTGTGACTGCTCGAAGAAGATATTTTTTACGTCATATCATCGTATCTATGTTCAAAATCATTTGGTATGCTCGAAATTGATTATTGTGTTGACGTAGTTTTTCGAGATCAGTAATTTTCTGTTTACTTGCTGTCAGACATCTGGCACATTTTTTAGGCAAACTCTGTGGTGTGCAGAGGATACTGTATGTACCTCGCATTCCTGGCTGTCATTCGGAAAATTTCGACAACTGTTGTAAACCGGAAAATGAAAGTCATACCTATCCCAGCGTTGAGTGATAATTATATGTATCTTTTGATTGATGAAAAAACTAATAATGCCGCTATTGTCGACCCAGTTAACTTGAAAGGCGTGAGTTTGCGGACTTGAAGATTAAGCTGATCTTATCAGTCTTAAATGAATGGGTTTTCGTTTAGTTTAAATAAGAAGAGTAGGAAATGTTTTTAATGCATATATAATTTTCAGTGGAATTGAAACTGAAGTAGGGAGTACTTGCAGATAAATAAAGCCGTCAAAGAAACTGGTGTGAAGCTTACTTCTTCTCTGATTACCCATCATCACTGGTATAGTTTTTGTATTTATTAATCAACTTTATTTATCACAAGTGAAGTACATTAGTTTACCTTCAGGGATCATGCTGGTGCAGCAAAAGAGCTTTCTGATGAGTATCGTGAGTTGTTCATTTACGGAGGTGATGATCGTATTACAAGTGTTACGAATAAGGTGGGGAATGGTGATGTTTTCAAGGTATGTTACCTTTTTTTATAGCCACACATTTGGCATTTCAAAAGTTGGTTGCAGGCGAATATGCCTGATTTTACGGTGGAATTCGACAATTTTCACCTTTTTGTGCTGGTTACTTATAATTAAACTGATTGGCAATAAGGCTTACCATTTTGCCCTTAGAGAGCAAAAACCATTATCGATAAGCTCGAACTGACCACAAGTATTTGAACCAAATCATTCATCATAATATAAGACTACCTTCGTCACAGATTGGTGAACTTGATGTGAAGTGCATATGTACGCCTTGTCATACAACGGGCTCTATTTGTTATTACGTCACTGATGGTAATGGTGACAAAGTAGTTTTTACTGGCGATACATTGTTTATAGGAGGTAATAAAGAAATTTTGTTCTTCAATATATTATAAAAGTAGATTTCAATTTTTAACGGAGAGTGGTCGTCAGTCCGAATGGTTAATACAGTGTAATATTTTCACGAAAAAAATGGAATTAATTTTAAGATGAAATCGTCAAGTAGACTTTGTGAAGGGAGGCTGATTTTCATTTTCTTGTATTTTGCTTCTCTCTTCTGTATAAGTTATTTGATCTCTTTATTCCAGCTTCATTTCGTTTAAAGCTGATTTTCAGGGATCAGTTACAATGTTTCACCTGTTTCACGGCAAACTCTTTAATATTTCGTTTTGCCATTATTCTTTCGAATCTTTGCTATTACTTCTCTTACTACTTCGTTTCTGCCCTTCATTTAATTCCCTCCTTTATCATTACAGGATGCGGACGTTTTTTTGAAGGTAATGCTGCAGATATGGATTCTGCTCTGAATGAAAAGTTGGGAAATCTGCCGAATGATACGGTACTTCATTTCATCCTGAAACTACATTTTCAAAAATAATTCGACTCTTAAAAATTCTCAAAACTGGACACTAGATTCTACTGCATCTCAACTTGTTTATTTTAGAAGATATATTGTGGGCATGAATACACCGTTGACAATTTAAAATTCGCTCATTCAGTTGAACCAAAAAATGATGAAATTACGAAAAAGTTAGTTTGGGCGGAAGAACAACGAAAGGCTGGTAAATATACAGTGCCTTCTACAATTGAGGAAGAAAAACGTTTCAATCCTTTTATGCGTGTTCGGTAAGTGTTTGTAAAAACGCGTATTATCATAACAATATTGAAAAATCAAAACAGATTTTGAAATTGTCATAGTAATTGACGCTGCGCTACGTTATCAAAGGACCATCATTTTATACTATGTGATTTGACTAATTTTATTTCAGTGTAAGTGATGAACTAAGAAACGTGACAAAATCTGCTGATCCCATCAGTGTTATGGCAAAGATTAGAACCATGAAAAACAATTTTCATACTTAATATATTCCTTTTGATTCATATGTCGGGATTCAGGCAGAGTGACTGCATGAACATTTGTCTGGAACTCGCAGCTTAGACTGAACGAACCATTGGATTTCATGTTTTCGCTGAAATATGACGCAGGATGTAATGCTGAGCACTTTGCATAAACTATAAGAGTTTAGGTCTTTGTTTTGACATTCACAAAAGAGTGAACACTGATCATTCAGTGAATATCCGGCTTCTGACAATACCATTTAATGATTCAAAAAGCAGTGAACAGAAACTGCAGCAGGTATCAAAAAATTCTGAATAGCGCTGTATAACTTTCATACAGCAGTTGAATGACTGAATCGATAATTTATTGGAGTGCAAGTGCATTAGATTAATCTTCTGTTGTAAAACGGAAATATCTTCACATTTGTGATTTTTGGAAATATTGTGCTAGTTGGACTGGATGAAAGTTTCTTTCAATTAATTGATTAGATGAACTGTGCTGATGTCTGAGTATTTGATCATTCCTGAATTGAGGAATTGAAACTATGCATTGCGATGTATTTTAGCTTCAGCACAATCAATGTTTTTAGATCGCTGTCGACCGATTAGAAAAGAGCGGAGGGACCACCCGTAAGAGAGTGGAAGGGGGAGGAGAAAATGACAGGGTATTATGATGCGATTCTTGATATTAAAGATTTTAGGACGGCCGGTCTTCAAATGGCACTACGGTCTGTCGTCGGCACCCACCTCTATAATTTGCAAGTGACAACTTGTTCTGTCCCTTTCCGATGACACCATTTCGAATTTGTACTTCCGAAATATTTTTACTGCATTTAATAGATTCACCGGATAAAAATCGTGTTATGGTTGACTACGGAAAATTATGCTTCAAGTTTGGAATCGGAAAAAAATCATCGGCAGAAAAGTTGTATCGTGATTTCTTGTATTTCGGCATTCTATAAGAAATTTTTTGTTTCTGTAGGGGAAATATTTTCCCGAGTACTGCAAGAGGTAAATGGCATGTTATGCGAAACAATTTTATAGCGCCAGTCCGTTTCCATTAAAGATATCTTCTTTTTCTGTAGGATTTTGAGAAAATAATGCTGGAGTGCTTTATTCTTCAAAGCTTTAATTTCGGATTTATTATTTATGCGAGAATATAGTTTTGCAATAAGAAATGATATCTGTTGGTGTGAAATTAAAGGAAGGATTTTCTCAAGTCGATATTCAATAAATAGCTCATTCTGGCCATATATCCGTTAAATATCTGATCAGTTCGTTTATCAAATGTAAACAACTACCGATATTACTTTACTTTTTTAAAATTGGGGATAGACGGTATTAACCTCAAATGCTTCTACTCTTTTCCAACTAACAGCATGAACCGGAAATTATTTCAATATGATTCGAACTAGTTTTTGGCGTATATCCCCATTTTTCCATTTTTTTAAATACGCTTGAACTTGAATATATGAAGTCAGTTATAACATGTGAATTATAAAATTTATGATGTCTAATATCAGCAAAGTGTGATTTTATTTTGCTCATCATTGTATAAATTTAAACTCTTCCCAGCAAAATAATTTCTCTTTTTCAATGGGAACTAATTTGTTTTCATATATAAAAATTTCAGGCTATCGGAAAACCAGTCCTCGGCTCAACCATTTTATCCATCAACTTTAAATTCCCTTAACAATTTTTTATTCTTTCTGAATTTCCTGCGAATAGTGTGCAATGGGAGTTTTTGGTCGATGGACAGCCTACGGAACATTTGGAAAGGCAGCACGACTAATCTTCTTCAGCACACAGCTTCTTTCAATTGTAACAATTTTCGCTTCATGGAAAAAAAATTTTATTGAATTTTCATAAAATTTTATTCAGTGAATTAAAAGGTACTTCATAAAGAATATCATACTGAATATTTGATCAAGATTTTTAATTTGAAAATTTCTATTTTACATATAAAATATATATTGTAATAAATGTACAAGAAATTTGGATTTAAATGAGAATTTTCTTCTACAGATGATTTTGTTAGCAGTACTAATATATGGTTGTTGGTTAACACAAAATCGATCACAGTACGCAGAATTGCTGGAGCCAAGTTTATACGTGGATGTTGCCCGCATTATGATTGTTAGCTCAATATTTGCATTTATCAATACCGGCATGTCCATTTACGCTTTAACAAAAGAAATGCGATGTATTATGTATTCGGTTTGTTTATCTTTCAAAAGCGACACACAAAGGATTATCATGTTATATGATAAAAAAATAGATGAGATAGGTTCGGGCATAGTCGCAAAGATCGGTCATTGCGTTATCGTCATAAACCCCCACCATTACAACATACTGATCACGAAGATCACCATTGCGACATACTGATCACGAAGACCACCATTGCGACATGCTGATCACGAAGGGTCAGCCACTTGAGGTGTCAAATCACTTCGTCTACCCCATATTGCCGTACCATATCAATTTATTTTGGATGATTTTAAGCGTAATCATTTCTTCAATGTAGGCTCGGTGAATGAATAAGAGTGTAGAAATAGGAAAATATTGAACACATCCTTATTTTTATTATCCTTTGAAACAAACACATGAAATGAAATGTTACATTAGAAGGGACTAAATAAAATTTTCAGTATGTGATAGCTGGCGGTGTAATATTTATAATGATGTTTATTGGTGGTATTATGAGTTTTGTATTTAGATATCAGGTTTGTTTTTTTTATTTTTTGAAGATTAATTACTGCAGGTTATAACAATAATTATAGTCTTCACTTATTTTGCGAAACAGATTTTATTTGATGATTTTATGTCCATATTTCATTGAAATCTCTCCGTACTTTATCAATAATTTTTACAGTTGCAACACAGAATACCGCTTCATCTCAAAATGCTTACATCACTGCGTGAACTTTATGGATTGCCAGAAATGGAGGGAATTACTTACGCTTGGGATGAACTGCAGAGCAATGTGAAAATTTCAAGTTCTATTGCAAGAAATTTTTTTCTACAGTTTTCCATGAAGTCCGAACAGCTTCTTACACCAATAAAATTTGAATTTGATATGCTAGTATAACTTATATAGAGTGTGTTCAGGATGAATATTAAATGAATCTATTTTTTTAGTTCAACTGTTGTGGAGTAAATGGTACCGATGATTTGAGGGTTTGGAAAACATCGAAATGGTTCATGCGTCAGAAGGGATCCAAGCAAAAACTCCCGTTATCATGGTTAACTTCAGATTTAAATTTGATTAAGACATCAATCGAACTTCGGAATAATTTTGAACTTGCATTCATATAGTAAAATATAGCATTAAATCAGTTCGAATACAAGGCTTTTAGTTGTGTAAATGATATGGTCCAGCGCTGCCTGGAAACGAATCTGTATCATCCAGATGAATCAGTCGTCCACACGAAAACATGCTACATGTCGCTAAGATCCGATTTGTTAAAGGTAATGCATGTGGCTGCTTGGCTTCTCATCATCGCGAGCGTAATCATGGTATGGTTCTTATCATCTGTTTGATATTGCAATATATTCTTATCATCTGTTTGGTATTGCAATATATATGATACTGCAATATATATATATATATATATATAATTCTGAATTCAATACATGAACCACTATTTTTTAAATTCAGTCTAATCGATTCTAGCTTTGAATTTTCAGTTATTTATGTTAACGATCCAAAAAACTCAAGGTTTTTTATAGGTGATACCTGCCATTTTCGCAGGAATTTATGCTCGTCTCATCAAGAAGTAGTCAATTTTGTATTGTTTGCTTCCTGTATTTGTGGTGTAATGACTAAGGCTGATTACGATGAATTATAACAACACAACATGCATATTCATCCTCCGGGAACGCAAGACGGCCGCCAGTGCTCAGGCTGTCTCTGCTTTAGCTATGGAGTTCAAGCTTTTAAAAATCAATGCTTACCTATAGAATAAAGTAGAATAGCTATGCAGAAATGTTTTGAGCTGATAATTTCCTTCCTGAATAGAGATAAATTGAATACTATGAATCCGTTAAATCTTACATTAGATTGTTGGTTATCTTAATTCCTGAAAATTATGCATTTCCAGTTGAAAAAGTCTGCTAAGAACTGAGAATGAAAAAAGCTAGATGGAAGTGAATTGTGTACCTTTGTCTATTTCCCAAGGAGTACTCAAAAAAATAGGCGACGAAGTAAGCACAAGATATGACGAAAGTAAGCATGGGATATTCAAGAGCTTGTCAGCAAACCTCCACTCCAGCCAAAGATTAACCTTACATTAAATTTCAATCAACAAAACTTCTTGCCAAAATTTCACATTAAATGGAAGAAGTAATTAGGAATATCTCAATTAATCAAATACTCACTAATTGAGGTATTGCAGCTGTCAAAAGCGCTATTTTAAAAGATATTTAAAATCTTAGTGTTATGCAATTCAAACAATAGAGGTAGTTGTGCATCTTTACTACTATAACGATTTTCCATTAATTCTTTCCACCAATAATTCGGTACTGATACTGAGCGGTGTTACCGCTAAGATCGAAATTTTTCATATGGTCAAAGCCCGTTGTATTCCGTGGTATAAGAAAATGTTATGGAATTGAAACAACAATTTCCCCATAAATATTAAGGGAGAACGAAAATAAGTTTGGAAAAATCTCTTCCTAATTGAGATATTCTATATCATTATGAAAATCAACCTATCAAAATAGGAATAAGAATGTATGATATTTAAAAATATGAAATGTTAAAGGCAAGTATAAATGATAATGAGGTCACAAAAAAGAATATTATGCCTACCTAACGAATCCATCGTAACTTCTATGAATGAATTTTTATAGATTCTTTTACAACACGACCAATAACTACACATAGCTAGATGACAAATCGATGAAAGAAAATCTATCAATAATTCCTAAATTAACAGAAATGTACAAGTCCCTGTACATTAACTTTGATTAAGTATCTACACAACGATTTTAACAATGAAAAGTTAGTATCATTTTCGTAATCCTGCATATGCTCTTTGTTTAATAAAATATTTTACTTTAAACAAACAAATTTGATAGAATCTCAAACATAGCTTAAAAAAAATGCATCATTTTAGAAAGCTGTAACTACTATATAAACTGTGTTCAAAGCTCAAATGAGCGAGGGTCACGTGGTCAACAGTTGAAAATCTTCCAGTAGAACTAGAAAGGTGTCAGCAGAATTGAGATGCAATCAAAACAATGAAAAAAATATTATTGTACGAAGAATGATATTCAACTAATGGTATTCAAGTGATATTCAACTTAACATAAGATTTTGCTGCACTTTTATGGACCTTTGCGCATCCAGAAGTAAAGTATTATTGCGAATTGTATCCCCTTCATGCTGGAATCAATAATCTGATTCATCATTCAAATTACAAATATGTATAATGGGAAGGAAGGATACATCGAACAAGACTAAGTTAGACAAATAACGAAAACACGACAAATTTCCTAAATTTACGATATATTTATATATGGATGTGCATCACCTTGTTCTATGGTGGCACAGATTCTGCCGTCTAGTTGCTTTCAGTATCTCTGTGCTATGCGCAATAGGTCTCAGAAAATATGAGTTTTTTCTGTTAACGCAAAATTTTAGTGGAATAGAATCAGTTAGTCATAACCTGCACAAACATATTCAACAATCAAGTGTAAAAAAGGTGAGAATGATGAACTAGCAGGAATTAAAATTAAATCATCGGTTGAGGGTAACGATCGCTATTGATTCGCTCTGTGGCCACAATTTCCTGCTCTTCGAAAAGCCACGGTGCCCTGGTTTTGAAATGCACCGGATCGAAACCAGGTATTTTCTAGAGGAAAAAGAATATATATCGTCGGAAAATCATTTTTATCAGACGCCTTTGAGATGTATGAAAAATTTTATATCCCCAGCTATACACAGGATTAAAAATTGGAAATCAGTTATAAGTGCCTTATACATTAGATATCACCTCACCTATCGTTATTATAATAACGACACGTAGGACAACACCTAATGAATAAAGGCAGTTGGGAATTTAAGTAATTAAAAAAAGCATTTAAACAAATTTACTTTCCACTTTGGAGAAGTTAGAATGCCTACTGCAGCCATACATACGAACAGCTAAAATTTCAAAGATTAAGTCTTCAATAAAATAGTAAAAATGTTTCAGTATAGTGAATAATGTTTCAATGAAACAATGAAATGGAGCAAATGGTTAAATAACATACTGTCAATTAAAATTACTACAATCACTACAAAAGTGTGGCCATTCGATTCACTAAAGCAACATATGATCTCTTGAAGTAAACTTATAATATCCACCACCATACTACTTCCATTTAATTCGATGCTACTTAAACAATCGATGGGTAGAACCAAATCTTAACTGCCAGCATATGACGATCTTTCCCATTTGTTTAATGTTTGCAGAAATATGCTCTATCGCATAAAACTAATTATTTTGTCATTTCTATCTCATAAGACGTGTATGTTGGATTTTGTGATGAAACAGACTAATATTACAAATAAACATCGATTTATAAAAATTTTCATCGAAAGCAATCATAAACATACCAAATAGCAGACGAATATAAGATATCCGATGGATGGAATCAAGAGTATTACCCAAATGTACCAAGCGTTCCCTAGCTTTCCAGTTATGTAATCCGTGAAGAAATATAAATTAATAACGATTACAACACACGACACAATTAGCGCCGAAACTTGGAAAAATCTAAATATAAATTGCAAGAGAGAGAAAGACAGGTATTTTATATGGAACAGATTTGATTCCTCAAAGAAAGAGAAATACGATAAGTATTAGAAAATCTTTTTCTACAAGCCCGAAATCTATTGGAACTTGTCCTTAGGGCAGCAATGCAATAAGTTTTATTAAATAACGTTTTCGAGTTAAAGCGCGCAGAACAAGAACGAAGGAACCTGGAATTGCGAAAATCGAGCATGACTTTGGCACTAGATGTGAATGTTACGACTGGGATAAGCGCAAACGGCAGTTGCAGCATTTGAATACAGTTTAACAAGTCGTTCATTCCTGTCAAGTCGCGTATACTATTTATGCGCAATGCAAGCAACAATGCTGGCACAACTGTAATGCTACGGGTAACCAGAACTCGTTTCCAACGAGCCCAACGGATTTGCAAAAAACCCTGCAGTATATGAAAGAAATTATATGAAAGAAATGCAGTGATTGCAAAATCCCCATTTGCAATATCCGATCTTTTCAAAACCGAAAATAACAATAAGATAGATATATATTCACATGTCATTTGCAGTAAATAGACAAACCTCCATCACAAACTGCCCAGCATAGGTACCAGACATCGTAGAACTTTGTCCAGCTGCCCAGATACCAATACCCCAAACATAGTAAGAAATGAAACCAAATTCGCAGCCAAGAAATATACCACCCTTGTATAAATCTGATTCAGCCGTTTCATTGTTGTAAGGAAACACTGTAGGATCCATAACACCTTTACGTGCGTCACAATTTTCTCTCTGCAACAAAATAAGTTTAAAATAAAATAAACCAAAAAAAATTAAAAAAAAAATCAAATTAAATAAACAGAATCACACAATACTACAACATAATGATATATTCTCAATAACTTTTGTTTGTTTTGAAAGGGAATGAAATTGGATTTAAATCTCTCCCGACATGAAATTAAAACATACTATTTGATAATTGGTCTTGCCATATAATCCATGCGCAAAAACAGCAACAACAAACACATTGATTATAAAACTACATAATAAGGCAATACCAGATTCGACAAAGAAGTAGAAACTTGCTTCTTCGACACAGGCTTTTTTTTTCCTATTTATGTCGCGACTCTAAAATAAAGGATATTCTACGAATTCAGGAAACATAAATCCAACTTTCAAATTATATGGAATCTGCACAAACTTTACCGATTAACTTTTAATTTTATTTTTAACCAAATTAAAGAGACAATAAATTGAAAGTAAAGAAAAATAAACCTTAACAAGCGCAGAATGAAGGTATAAATTATGAGGCATTATGACAGCACCAACAATACTAACAGCAAGCAAGAACTGGTCACGACCACAGCCTTCGCACCACGGTAAAAACATCCCTTTGAGCACCGAGAGCTGGTTCGGTTTTACTATTACATACTAAAAACATTCGCACACTGCAAGTTTATTAAGAATATATATCACTTTAATCAATTTATTCCAATTTCAGAGAAGATGCTCCGGGAAACTTTCTAAGTAATTACTTACTTCATAACCGAAAGTAGCTCCCATAATTGCAATTAAAATTGCAAAAAGACCTTCCAGCTTGCGAAAGCCATATGTATCCAGAAATAAGAACAAAAATGTATCCAGAACGGTAAGAAGGACGCCAATATATAATGGAATACTGCAAAATTTTCAAAAATCTTGGATATACACAATTTCATGAATGGTTAATATGGATACAGATCTATATTTCAAAACTGACAAGCCTCTGGTCAAAAGATAGATTGCAATCGATGTTCCGATAACTTCCTGCATATCGCTTCCAATAATTGCTATTTCAATCATTATCCATAAAATGAGTCGCGGCACCCGTGGGTAATATTCATATGCTACCTAGTAAATGATGGATTTTTTGCTTTATTCTTGGCGTCATAAATATGGAATATCAGAAAAATGTGAAAGCGGTAGAATCAAAGCTCTTAATAAATTTTTTTGTTGCTTCTTCAGTAAAAAAGAAGGAAAAAACTAATCACTTCTGCCATATGCCTTCCACTGACAACACCCAGACGAGCGGATAACCTCTGCAGAAAGAAACCAATAATATGTGCTGATAGTAAAATCCATAAGAGCTAAACATACAGCAATGCAATGCATCAATTCTTTATAATAATGATTGATTTGAAGTATTTTTTTTTACTTCCTTTCTTGTAGATTCAAGCTGAAGTTGAACGAAATAATTAAATAAAATTTATTGCCCAATAAAGTATTAGAAAATTCACTCTATACTGAGCTTGTGATCCTGACTGCAAGTCGCTTTCAATATTTCCTGGATCCAAATAGGCTATACTCATCAAGAATCCAGGACCCATAAAGGCCCACAACTTTCGAAAACTGAATCTCTATAAAAATCTCTATTCAACGACTGCTAACATAAATTCAACTAAAACAGAATAAGACGCTAGACTTTTACATGTTTGGAAACTAGAACATCGATTAGCATCATCATTAATTTTAACATATAAGGAGACTGTGGAGTTTTTATTTAAAAAGAAGATGCTTAAAAATAACTTGGTTTTTTCACCGCAGAATTTACTCTAATATTTTTGTATACGAGCTACATAAAGAAAAATTCTTAGAATAACTTGGAAAACTTTAATCATTAACCTACCGAATGTGAGACATCCGGTATTCGAACTCGATGTTTAAGCATTTCGGAGTCCTGACAAATAATATTCTTTGCATTTTTCTCCGACATCGTGTCACGATCTGCATTTATTAAAAAATAAAATAAATGATTTCATGGGTTACAGATATAAACAAAAAGAGACAAAATCAAATGATGAATCATCAATCTGTAACATTGTCAATAAGACATACTTGTGCAAGAATTAAATTGTCATTACATTCCGATCTTGAATTAGTCTGGTTATTTTAATAAATTAATACATTATGATGCCATATATTTCCCATATTTTCTTATAATTAAAAAGTTCCCAGGATTCTCTCATTGTCCCACATTTCCAATTATAAGAGTACTTTCGAAATACAGCAATTGCAAAAGTGCCTTCTACTCTTCCAGTTCCTATCATCTTGCAAAACAAACAATGAATTAAAGACAAATTCATGAATAATTTAACGTTTCTGATGAGGAGGTGGCTTAAGACAGCGACAGTTGATAACGGTAAAGTGCTTAAACATGAAACGCATTTGTGCGTGTATACGCATTTGCATATTTTTTCTGACGTTCTCTACAGAGATAAAGAACTATTTGCACAAGGTACGACTGCACTCTGAATACTACAAACTTCCTGAAACGCGGCAAGGAAGTAATTGCATTCCTTATTGCTAATAAATCTATTTAAGACGCCTTGATATCAATAAATATTCCAACTTCAGTGAGTAATCTGTAAATACTTGCTTGTGAGAACACTAAACATGTGTTTTCTACGGAGAAATGAGAAATAATTGAAAACAACACGTAGAGCGAATCGATTAATAGACACATTAGTACTATTCAATTATAAACTTAACTACTTTTTTATCAGCAATAAAAAGCAACATAATAAATAATCGCGTTATGCAATGGAGAAATGAATAGAGTAATGATCGCTTTTCATTTTAAATGTGAATTTAAAAGTCAATTCTTAAAGATGGTCTTGAAGCAATAAAATAAATTGAGAAAAAAAAACTGTCTGATCCAAATCTGCTTTACATCATCATTTTCTGCGGCCTAACACTGTTGATTTTTGTAAAAACAAAAAACAAACAAATAAAAAGATTTATTGAAGGTAATCGATAGGCAATTCAGGGAAAAATAAAGCTGATTTCACACAAATTGAAATATTTGAACAAACAACATGCAAAACGTGAATGGAATGAATAAAGCGACTTGAATAAAACATTCGCATCATACTACCTTCTCAATTTCCGAAAGATGATCTTCAGTCACATGAAAAGAAATTTATGAATTAAGTATAAGACTAAACAATGACTCATACTACTTCTCCCTAGTCAGTAGATGTCGTTCATAGGTACCAGCTTATATACCCCTAATGTTTTTCCCACAATAACTGCATCTAATAATTCCTCCACAAAAAGAATGAAGCAGTGTTGCAAATCATCGTAGTTGCGCTCACTGTTTCAATAGATAAAAAAAATTATTAAAAGAAAGCCCACAGAAAATGGTAAAAAAAAAGGACATTAAATTTACGGGAAATATATTGGCAATAAGTAAGACCGCTTGAGCAAGGTCTGGTTGACAGAACAAACAAAAACGGGCAAGTGAAAACATGTTATATATTAAGGCAATGCAAAGGCTAAAGTTCACTTGAATGTTTGTGAAGGTCAGCGACGCCATAATAATGAAACATCACGGATGCAATCAAATATTAAAATCTACACACAATGGAATTATGTTTTTTAATTGCTCATGCCATAATGCTGAAACGAGCTATTTCTATGAGGAAATCATTACTCCTGAATGAGTTACATAAGTGATTTGGGACGAAGCTCAACTAACAACTGGAATTTCGAAAAGGGACCATGTTAAAAACAAGTTCGTTGTGAACGAACCGCAACAAATCATACAGTCGATCTTTCAGAACAACTTGCCCCAAACATTTAAAAATAAAAAATAGCAAAACGAGGAGAAACAGCACTATCGACGACAAAGATTGACGGCCGACACTTCAGTTTCCTAAATACTCCTTATTTTGCTTAAAAGAGAATAAAAATTGCTGAGCCAATTGAGAAATTTTCATTTTGAGGCCGACATCAAATACACGAAACTGTTACTAAAGTCTGTATCATTGTAAACGCTAACAGTAACATATGTGTTTACCTATAAAAAAATCAGAGTTAAGAGGATAGACGGGGAAATTAAAAACAATAAATGGAAAAATCAAAAAAAGTACTCTTGTAAGGAATCATATAGTGAGGTGTTCATGAACGACAAGCATGCATCACTCACTACACAGCAAACATTTTCAGTAGCTGAAATCATTGCAGAGGTACATGTATATATCACAATCGGATTGTTTCTCGAAATGTTTTATAGTTTCGTTGTTAAACGATTTCTGGTTTTCTACTATACATTGAAAAACAATCCACAATGATCAACATTTTCTATTACCTATAGGGTTTTCAAATGTTCTATTTAAAAATTGAAGGAATCAGTTTTATTAGCAAAGTGTTCCATTATAAACATTGAATACTTCTTTCGAAAATTTAATGAAGTCAAAAGTACGAACCATCATCATCTTCAGTATGAGTGGCATCAGAGTTAAGTAGGTACGAATTTTCGTCAACTTCAAGCAAATCAGTGCTTCCGTACATCTCACACCTTACGTCTTTACATCCACCTACCACGTCAGATTCTGGAATAACGAAATATTTCCACAAATCCTGCAAATATAGAAGATACGCTAAATTACAAGGTTTGGCGAACTTTTTAATCCAATACGTTCTTTTTCTAGAAGAGTGCGACATCTAATAGAAATCATACAAATTTCTTGCAGAAGTATTTAGGAAATTTAAACACCAAGTTCTGCAAAAAGACAACATTTTTGATGACTTTTCAAGACTTGGTTCGATTATGTTAGATATTTGTAACAGAACTTATAACTCCGTTTTTGCAGCAGTTAGAATATGAAACTACAGTATCACATTCTGGTGGGCAATGAAGGATACTTCTAACATCACATAACACTCTTAATAGATAGCCAGATAAGAACTTTGGGGAATCTCCATATAACGGTCTACCCTTCAGACTGAAATGAAAAAATAATTTCTTCAGAAGAATAAAGCAACTATTATGTATAATTCTGACGTGCAAAACAACCATCGCTCAAGATACCAACTATCCCATACTCCTAATATATCAACTAAATCCGATCCTCACCACCAATCTCATATTTGCACGAGTCTCTAATTACTACAAAATTCACCAAAATCGCTCAGTACATAAGCATTCCTTTAAAAGTGCGCCATATCTCGCTCCATCCCAATCCGATCCTGAAATATTTGGGACAACTGACTACTATCACAACAACTTAATGCATCATAACAACTGACAATGAAATTACCTTCAACATATTTCGGCAATAACATGATGATGACATCAGAAAATCGATTGAAGAGGGAAGATGAATGATGTTGACAGTCATGAAAAGAAATACAGATTTTATTCCACTAGAGATCAGTAAGGAAATATCATTACAGTTATCCAGTCTGTATCATAGGCGAATGTTTTTTGTAAAGCTTATTGAGCAAAAATAGCATATTATAAATAGGTAATGTGCATGCAACACGATGCTAGGCTCGTATTGAAGAGATCGCAGAAACACGCGCTGCTGAATAGTAATTAAGATCTTTAACACTAGAGGAATCATTGTAAAAAGTAATCATTAAAGTAATCATTAAAGTATCAATCATCATCAATTTTGGTATAAAAACTATGCCATTAGTTCCTTGAAGCCCAAAATACAACTTTTAGATCTCACGGAATCTATTCATGCATTCGGCTGTCACTTTACGAATCAAAAGCTGAATTCTAGCTTTCTCAAGCAGTCCTAGAGGTAACAGTCATTTTGGAATAATTGTAACTTGAAGCAAGCTTACTGACGTCAAACAGCTAAAGTAATTAAACATTGAACTAGCGAACGAAGTAACTTATCTCTGCAATATAAAAATGGTGCTGTGCAATAGCAGAACATCAACATTCTTTCACCAACAAGATGTGTTGACATTGAAGACTATAACGTAAATGTCATTTTCTGTGCTTTTCAGTAAATAGTGCGGTCATTTTCATCTCTCATATAACTATTTCTGGCTTCAAAGGCTTCGGAAAAGTCTTCCAAACATCGGAAAACTCTAGAGATGCCTAGCATTTTCTAGGCATTATTTGAACTATTAAGAATGAGTTGAATAGAGAGGTTGATTTAAAAACAAGTATTGGTGATGGAGATAACAAATATTTAAAAAATTAGACAAGTAATAAACACTTTCATCGAAGACTTACTTTATATCCCTTGCAGAAGTATCTTTTCTTTATTGATGAATAAACGATGTTGGCACTTCATTCAATCTATCAGTGTAAAAGTTTATCAAAATGACGAAAAAGTCAATGTTCTTGGATTTGGACAACTTGGTAGAAAGAACCAAACAAAGTAATTAATCAATCGGAATTAGATTGTTTCAAAATTCTACAGATCACGATGTTTCAGCTATTAATCACTAAAGAAAAGAGACACCTTATCATATTGTCTGAAACCGCTGTCATTAGTCTATTTCCAAGCATAGGCTACCCAATTTTACCAGCAAGGCAAAAGATCAGGTTTATGAGATATCACAAAATTTTTGCGATGTCACAAACGTACAAGCTTATCACTTACTAATGCTCGCATTATCAGTGTCCATTAAATGAGTCTCACTTCTACTTTTATTTTAATTTCTGCCGTTGGAACTCTACCATTTATCGAGCAAATACAATTAATTGAAGTGGTCCAAACAACAATGAAGTTTAGGCGAAATCGTGAAATGTTGATAAGATCGATCATGTTCTTCTTTATGTCGTAAAAAGCAAAATTTTTTACAGCTAATAATAAGAATAAAAAATGCCAGAAAGCAATCACCGTGAAAGAAACAAAGAACTGCCTTTTGGTGAGGTCATTAGGTTCTTCCGATGCTTCCCTGTGACCCTTTACAGGTTTGTGAAACTACTAAATAAATGAACTCTCTCCACACTTCTTCACCAGCATCAAATGTTTAGTTTCTTAACGTAAATAACGAAAAGTGGTTCCTAGAGATCTTACCAGTTTTTACAACGGTCACTGTAATTAAATATCTATAAATCCAGAATACACTCCGTGTATGCAGTGGGTCTGGAAGAATTTTCGCGTGGAGCGAATGCCACGGCTTTCAATGTTCAGAGTTCTTTCGTTTTTTCAGGAATGTGCAAACTTCCTCAAGTGAAATACCAGTTCTTTTCTAATAAGGTTATTGTACCCTTTAGATCCGGTTACATTCCAGCTTTACTGCACCATTTTCAAAAATCCAAATGCATTTTGACATTTCCAGATATTATCCTGCTTTACAGCATCAAATTATTCGTGATGTGGGAGAAATCATAAGTGCAAACAAAAACTGCAAGATATCTGTGCCAGAGTTTCTTTCGGCCATTCAAGCAAGCTGTTTCATGCGCTGGTTCCGTTATTAGCAGTATACTACTGTAAAATACTGCTAATAACGGAACCGACGCATGAAATCTCAAGCTCACAAAGAAGAAGCAATCATCGAATGTAATAAGGAAGTTCCTGAAGCCTTAACTAATTAGTTCTGCCTCACTAAATACGAATTCCAGTATCTTGATGTTTTACACGAAAAAAGGAAAGCGAATGAATCGATAGTGCTGAGTTAGAAACTGGTGCTAAATGTAATTTTACAATAACTGAAAACGTTTTTCAAAATACACTCTATATGCTTGGAGCTGAAAGAAGTCAGAAATGAGTTATGATCTCAAGAACCTTTGAAGACATTACAAAAAATTTTGGGAATAATCCCTGCGGTGCTGAAATGATCAACAAATATTTAATATATATATTTCTTACACTTCTAAAAATGAAATGTCCGGAAAACGAATGGATGTTCTGCAGTGAATGTAAGCCAACTTCTAAAAACGCACAGAGAAGCGGCAGTGATCCTGCGAAAGGACAATGTCTGTTGTAATCGTAGTGGAAAATACATGTGTACTGCAGAAAAATATTTTTCAGAATGATAATGACAACTTTATTGATTATGCTCTTTCTTAATGCAGATTCAACCCCATTTCGTTTAATAACATGTAGTTCAAAAAAAGAAATAAAGATCCAGTAAAATTACATGGAGGATGGAAAACCCACAGTTCCTTTAGATTCAATCAGTGATTTTAATGATTTTAATAACAGCAATAACCATCGTAAAGGTACTCGTTTTCAGAACCTCTACGAAGAGAAAAACACTCATCAAAATATTAATCAGAAACGTTTGAGACTGACCATTGAATTTTTGTTGGCGGGTCCGTCTTTCCGTCCCTCGGATTGTTCACGTTAACTGCAAGGTAAGTATGGATTTTCCCTCTATGAATTCCTAGTTATATTTAAAAACGCAACATCAAGAACGCAGAATGTCGATCGACACGTTGGGCACTGAGCTTTACCAGGCATCCACAACTCCGGACGATGTGGATCTTGCTTAGATGCAAAGATCAGTCCCATACATGTATCACACCTGCAGAGATACATGTATATAGAATTGTTTTTCAATAATAGAAAACATCGATAAAATTTCTGAAGCATAGAGATGACTAACTTATTCACGTCAAATGCCTTTCAAATAAGTTTACAAAGAAATACCACTGGGCATACCACATAGGTCTGCAATAACATTGCGTGCAACGAGGTCTAGGCCTTTCTTCATCCATATCATCTTGAACATCATTGTGACACCGTTTCCATAATTTGACATTTGACAGCTCAGCAGAACAACCCAAACATGGCTCGAGGCGCTAAAAAATGCATTGCACCGGTAATAGCAAGCAAATCTGAAAATGTTTAGATATGGACAAAACTTCCAGTAATTACGCTCGTATTTCGAGATGTTGAGGGCTGAACACTTCAATAAGGGAGAGCAAAGGACGAATTCAAGATGAACAATATTGTTGAAGTACTCGCAACTATTAAATCATGAATAATAAGCTTGGAAAGGGCCTAAAATATACAAAGTAAACAATTTTATTGAAACTATCAACTTATAAAGCACCTTCTATTGAATCTAAAAAGTAAACAGAATCATTCGTAATCACAGATATATCATCAATTCATGGATTTTGGGGCCTCATGTCAGAAGATCCGAGACAGCAAATTTTAAAATTTCTGATCTGAGTATGTGGAGGCATACCTACTTCGAAGTGGATAACTTACGAATTATTAGAGTTCCACTTCTCCTACGACTGCACTATTCTACCTGCTTCATCCGCCACCACGATCGAACATCACAATGTAAAATGAGGCCTAACATGTCACTACCGATAGTGGATGAAGAATAGCGAGCCATTAGGCAAAACAATGATTTAACACTTTTGGAGAGCGTGCTTCTACTCAAACTTTGACTGAGGCTATCTATATATATCAATGGCCGATCAAAAATTTGTTAATCTCTATCTGCTTCGATCAGAATAACCTTTATCGGTCTCCGTTTTTATAATTAAAGCTGACTTCTGTCTCAGACTTTTCTTCTATTAGAACAATTTACAACGAAGTAGTTGCACTATTATTTTTTATAATGACCAAAGCTGACTT